GATCTATTAGCTATCTTTACACCACATTTTGCCCTTCATTTCTGGTGACAGCAACCTATACTTAGTTTTCTCTGTGTTTAATTCTAGACCAACCTCCTTAGTAGCATCAATAAAAGTGTCTTCGTTTTTCTTCATGGTATCTATATTATTTGCCAGCAGATTTACACATACATCATCAGCGTAGACTAGCAGCTTGATGTGTCCCATTTGATTTAAGTCCCATCTTGTTTTCTTGGACCTTCCTAATGGCGTATTCCAAAACGAAGTGGAAAAACAACGGAGAAAAATCATCTTGTTTTAAACCGTTCTGAACATGAAAGATTATCAAACGTATTTACCAATACTAAATTTACAATTTTCACTTGAACACATTTTGATAAGCCGATTTATTTTCATGGGTACTCCAAACTCAATGAGAATGTTGTACAATACTACCCTCCTAGCTGAATCACAATCTCTCTTGAAGCTATGAATAGCTGTTGTACTGCCTCGTTGTACTCCCATTTCCTTCTTCAGTACCTGACAAATGCAGAAATTCTCATCAGCAGTTCATCTATTACATCAGGACCCATGCTGATGATCCCCAGTCATTTCATCTACATATACACTTAATACTGAGAAAATGATGCTGGGTAAAGTTTTGTATGTTGATAAAAATGACACACAGGTATATCAGTAATCATTACAGCCATTTTTGCCGCCCATTTTGTAAAATGTTAGATAGGCCGCACACCGGCATCCGTCAAGACATGTAACAGTCAAGACACGATGTCTGCGACATGACGCAAAAGAAAGAGCACAGTTGAAACGAATGAGATTATGAAAACCGCCGCACACCGGTCTGAGTCATGATGCTGACGTCTGTTTCATGCTGACGAATCACGAATGAAGCAAGACTGCGCCTCTTGTCCCATGTCTTGATGCTTGTCTTGACGCAGTTGGTATGCGGTCGCCCATAAAATAACATATTTCTTCTATTGCTCAGATAAGTCTTCCTCATCCCGACGAGGAATGCGTATAGGATATTGCTGGGAAAGCCAGAAGGAAAGAGACCACTGGGGAGACCAAGGCGTAGGTGGGTGGACAATATTAGAATTGATCTTAGAGAGATAGGATGGGATGGTATTGATTGGATTGATCTGGGTCAGGATAGGGACCAGTGGAGGACTCTTGTGAACACGGTAATGAGCCTTCGGGTTCCATAAAATGCTGGGAAATTCTTGAGTAGCTGCAGAATTGGCGGCTCCTCCAGAAGGGCCCAGCTCCATGAGTAAGTAAGAAAGTATGGATCTCAGACCGTAATATTTCGACTCCTGCTTGAATAAGTTCTGCCGGAATTTGCTCAGTACCTCGATATATGCACCGTTTCAACTTTTCAGTACGAATCCCAGTCTCCAAAGGACTAGGCTCAGGCATTAATGCCTCAGCTGCGTGTATTTGCATCTGCCTAACATCCAACTATTCAGAATACTGTGGATAACTGAAAGCAGATTGCCATTCACGTCTAGTTGGGTAACCCTACTTGAATTCATTTATTGCTCTATGCAAGTTTGTAATGTTTCTGCTGCAAGTTCTTTAATTTCTTCATGTAGATATTCCTTATTTTTGTTTCTGAAATGTATACTAGTTCACGTCTTACATTGTTGGGATTATCCCCATTTTTTGGCTCGGATTCTGCAGCCATTGCAGTTTGGCTTGTTTCCTATAGTCTGATGGCTTTGAACATCGTTCGTCGAACCAAGTCTTACGTTGTTCGTTTCATAATAACCTAGATTCTCTTTGGCTGAAATTTTGTCATTTTCTCAAAAAGTTTCTCAGACAGCGACATCTAATTTTTGGTATTAATTTTGGCCATTTTGCTTTTAATGTAATAGGCTGAAGGCTAGCAAACTTGAACTTTACTGAATTAGTTATAATTTTCAGTTGACCTAATCCTTCCGGTCGCACTATGGCCCTGGGGTCGACTCAGCCTCTAACAGAAATGAGTACCAGGAATTAATTAAATAATTTTCCTGGGGAGTAAAGCGCGGCCGGCACGTAAGGCTGACAACCTTACCGCCATCTTTGAGCCGATTGTCTAGATAGTGTGGGAGCCTCAACGTCTCACAACCCTACGGGCCTTCACGGCCTGTTACAGGGATAGCGTTAATTTACTTACTTTAGTTACTTTACTTTACTTTATATTTTACACCTATCTTGTAATCGTTTGTAGACAATGGAACAATAATTTCCAGTAAAGTTGATCGCATTCATTCCTCTGTATTAATTTTTCTGTGAAACAACTTCTGAAAGGCATACAAAGTCGTATTGTTTGTAGATTTCTGAAGAATCTTCTTGAAGCTTCATGTGCTATGTATTCCACGAAAGTTCCTTAAATAAAGATTCTATCATCGTAAATATGTTTATCTTACGTTACATGCTGCTAGCATTGATGTCATCGCGTCCGTAGTTTTGATATTGGGCTTGAATATTTTGATATTCTGAATTTCACATGTAGTGTCACATTCACTCGCTCACTCATGTAACTGAGCTGTTATTGAGAAGTTGCCAATTGTGCAGCTACTCAAGAGATTCCCAGCATTTTATGAAACCCAAAGGTTCATTACCGTGTTCACAAGAGTTCTCCACAGGTCTCTATCCTGAGCCAAATCAATCTAATCCATACCATCCCATCCTAGATCTCTAATATCCATTTTAATATTGTCCACCCACCTACGCCTTGGTCTTCCCAGTGGTCTCTTTCCTTCTGGCTTTCCCACCAATATTCTATATGCATTTATTTTCTCTCACATTCGTGCTATTTGCCCTGCGCATCTCATCCTCCAGATCCGAAGTTTTTGGTCATGTACACATGACTCAGGGTATGGAAAAAGATGACACCGAGACATGTCTATGATAAACCCTTCACGATCAGATTCCCTGACAGGAGTGAATAGGAAAAGGGGTTTCAGCCCGACAGAAATGGGGCAGTAATTTGGTATACAGATGGTTCCAAAACAAGCACTGGAGCTGGGGTGTATTGCCATGGATCAAGGCGGAAACTTAGCTTTAGCCTTGGACGATAAACAACGGTATTCCAGAGAGAAGTGTATGTCATTAAAGCATGCGCAGTTGAGAATGTAGATAGAAACTATAAAAATAGGAACATCTGTATTCTATCAGATTGTCAAGCTGCAATTAAAGCTCTTGGCAATCACCATATCGCCTCGCAACTGGTCTGGGACTGCCACCAGTCCTTCACTCAACTGGCCAAACATAACAGAGTTCAGCTGATGTGGGTACCAGGTCATGAGGGTATTGTAGGGAATGAAACCGCAGATCAGCTGGCAAGAACGGGATTTGAACATCCGTTCGTAGGACCTGAACCAGCTCGTGGCATCTCAGTAGGAGAGTATTGCTGGGAATGAAACCGCAGTTCAGCTGGCAAGAACAGGATCTGAACATCCGTTCATAGGACCTGAACCAGCTCGTAGCATCTAAGGAGGATAATACTGCTGGGAACGAAACCGCAGTTCAGCTGGCAAGAACAGGATCTGAACACCCGTTCACATGACCTGAACCAGCTTGCAGCATCTCAGTAGGAGAGTACTGCTGGGAATGAAACCGCAGATCAGCTGGCAAGAACAGGATCTGAACATGCGTTCACAGGACCTGAATCAGCTTGCGGCATCTCAGCAGAAGTTGCCAAGAAAGCGGTCAGGGACTGGACTAACAGAAATCACACACAAAAAAAAAAAAGCACTAGGATTCCACAACTGGATTCAAACAGGCAAAGGGACTTGTATCTGGGCCCTCTGCCAGAAGAGCGAAGGAACTTTTGAAATTAAACAGAGACCGATTAGGATGGATGATAGGACTATTTACAGGACACCATCATCTTAAAGGACACCTTTTCAAACTGGGATTGACAATGATCCCACTTGTTTAAGGTGCCTAGAAGGAGATGAATCAGCCACACATCCTGTGTGATTGTGAGGCCATAGCTTATTTAAGATTTCGTCACCTGGACCAGTCCTTCTTGGAACCAAGTGACTATTATGACGCCCCCATAAATAATGTCCTACGTTTCATTCGAAGTGTAGGTTTAATAAAGTGTTAATCAAAGGGGAAGCACAATAGATCAGNGTAGAAGAATAATTTGGGGACATGTATGACGCTCGAGAGAGATTAGAAATAGGCTCTGTGTAAAAGTGTTGATCTGAAGCCCTGAAGAGAGGGACGATTGAGAGACTTCGACATTAGCATACATGGTCTTGTAGCATGAACATGGCCCTTGAGGAAGTGAGGTGTGAAGGTGTAGGCTTCACTTGTCTGACTTATGATAAGGTCCAGTGGTGGACTGTTATGAGTATGATTACTCGCTCTTGAGTTCTTTGATCGAAAGGATTCTCTTCGCCAGCTAAGAGATATCTTATCAACAAGGAACAGAACACATTAAATTTAGTAGCCAGTTAAAGTAATATTACACATATTGTTTGGCCGGTCACGGTAGCTGAGCAGTTTAAGGCATGTACTGTCTTCTTTCGCTCGGAAGCCGGGATCGTGGGTTCGAATCCCACACAATGAATGGATATTTGGTATGTGTATGTGTTTATTCTGTGTTGATGTTGTACCGTGTTTAGATAGAGGCCTTCCTACGAGCTGATCACTCGTCCAAGGAGTCCAACCGTCTGTAAAATGATCATGAAACTGAAAAATCAGAGGCCAGAGCCCAAGGGGACTGTAGAGCCAGTAAAAAAAAAATACATATTGCCTATCGTTAAAGCAGCCTAAGTGAGCTTAAATTGACAGACAGTACAAAATTTTATAATCAAGAAACTGACACGATACATTGGGACTAAAGTGCTTGGAGTTATGTAATGACCATAGGGCATATTATTATCTATTTTTAGTCACTTGTCATGGAAATTATGTGGAGAGACTGGTGCAAGAGGAAATGTCTGCCACAGAACTTCGAGTGCTCTGGAGTGACAGAGCTGCACACCATTTCCAATACGCACCTGTATCGGGAACCAGCAGACGGCGAAGATAGCGACAACGACGACGACCATGCGGGTGACCCTCCTCTTCCCCCTGCGGCTTTCTTCCGACACATGGCCTCCAGGAGCCGCCCCACGCCACAGACGCAACAGCAGCCACAGGTACAGGCCGCAGATTAGGGCCAGGGGCGTCACATAGGATGTGGCGAAGAAGATGATCTGCACGCACAGAACACGGATAACTCTCATTTTCAGCCTGCTAAAGTCCTACATTTTATTCGAAGTGTAGGATTAATAAAGGGTCATCAAAGGAGAAACACAGTTGGTCATGGAAGGTCATTCATTCAGTCAGTCATTCGTCCTGTTACCGACTGACATCTGCACGAAGAGAACACGAATAATTCTCACTTTCAGCCCTGCTGCCACCTGACAACTGCACGCAGAAAACAGGGGCACTTCTCACGCCTTCTGTAAACTGTTATAACACTCTGACTTGACGGTTCCGTCATTCCGCCTGCTCCTTACAAACTCAGCGTGTCGGAGAACAGGGCCATGCACTCTGAATCCCGAGGGACGAACAGGAGACAAGTCATGTCTTGTGACTATTGATACAGGAGCATCAGTGACTATTGCGAGACCGGTCATTGCCACAGGACTGCCCCAGAGAGACCTGACAGCGCCGTACGTCCTGCAGATAGCACCAGGGAAGTTTTAGTAATGTTGACTCTAGGGCGGCTCCCACTGACGGCTTGGGTAGAGTTCAGCCTGGGATTCGAAGCTATGCAAGCCCACGAAGCGTCCTTGGATTTGAGGCACCACGTGGTATGACTGGGCGATAAGGAAGTGCCATTGCGGCTTCCCGGGCTGCGACCGCTTTTCACCTTCTGTATGAAGGTAAACAGCGACGTAGCAGAGGTTCTGTGTGATAACAGTCGTGGGGGTGCGGCGGGAAAGACCCCTGGAGACGGTGGATAGCTTTGCAGAAAAGGGGTCCAGGGCCGTCCATCAAGCTGGTCCAGTCTTCAAGAGGCTGCCTATAACGAAGATTGGAGAAAGGCGGTAGCAGAAGCTGGCTCTGAGAAACGCTCGACACGAGCAGTCCTAAGGAAGGGCAACTGGAGAACAGCAGCACGAGACCCATTCCACGAGAAATGAAATCTGGACGCCATCTAAACAAGAAGAAGTACTGAGCCCTGCACGAGGCTGAAGTCCGATTCGCGAGGCTGATCGCAGACGTAGCAGGCACGTCCTGCCCGAAAATAAGAAATGGCGATACGCATGTAGGCTACTCGGGACGAGCAGCCTTAAAGAGGGAGAAATGCGACATTATGGCTGAAAGCAGGCGAGGGACAGAAGAAATTTATCAGAGTGGAATGCACTGAACTATATGTGGCCACTGGGCAGCCGTAGTCTGAAAGCCTCCCAGAGCCGTCAGATGGTAAAATGTGATCTTGAACAATTTTAGCAGTCAGACGCTCAGAACTACATGTGGCCAATATTGGCAGATATCAGTATGAGTGAGTGGGTCGGACAGGAGCTGAGCCCTTCTTGAGGAGCCGCCAATTGTGCAGCTACTCAAGAATTTCCCAGCTTTTTATGGAACCCGAGGGTTCATTACCGTGTTCACAAGAGACCTCCAATGGTTCCTATCCTGACCCAGATCAATCCAATCCATAACATCCCATCCTGTCTCTCTAAGATCAATTTTAATATTGTCCACCCACCTACGCCTTGGTCTTCCCGGTGGTCTCTTTTCTTCTGGCTTTCCCACCAATATCCTATATACATTCTTCTCTCCATTCTTGCTACATGCCCTGCCCACCTCCTTCTCCCTGTCTTGATCATTCTAATTATACCTGGAGAGGAGTGCATGTTATGAAGCTCCACATGAAATGAACACATCCTTGGCCCCATACCCGACTCTAACATAACAGTTACAAGTTGCTGGCTATCTAAAACCTTGTGGGCATGGGTTCCTTCGATTTACGATCAGCGTTTTAAGTTTTATAGATGGATTGACGTTGAGAACAATTTCTAGGTCCCTCCGTAAGTTGGGTTTGCACTTCATAACTTTCATAAGATCGACTGGTGCTTGAAAAGAAGTCATTGCTGTGTCACAGCTCTCTGGACATTATCACGTAGAAAAGGAGAGAGCAGATTATGTACTCTTGCTATTCGGAATGCTCGTCAGTTTGTCTCCGAATAACATGTCCTCGGGTTGCATTCGAACGACTTCTGGCTGCCTGAATATTCATAAAAGCTATAATCATCAAATAATTATTTCTCTGAAGCTAGACTAATAATTGAAACTGCTTCGAAATTCATGTACTTAGCTTCCGAGCTAAAGGGGAGTATTAGGGAATCATATAACTTTAAAGAGAAAAGTTTTATTAGACCTTAGAATCCTGGTCTTGTAAGAAGACTTGCACTTTTCAGGGTTCAGAATTTTCTACTGGCTTACTCCCTAGGATCATGGGACAAAGAGTATTAGGTCCCCGTAATTAGTTTTCCACTTCGTTTGTTGTAAACACATTGAGATGGATTTCCTGATGGTTTAACCACAGCGCGACATATAACAGAAGACAGTAAATACGTTCTGCGTTAATGCAGGAGTCTGTTGTTTGCTTTTGGATATTTGGTTACATGGCGACCATTTTGGTCTTTCAACGGCATTCGAATAAGATGAAAAACTACATCGATTTAGGAAATAATAATAGATTCATAGTTCCGTACTCCACTGCTTACGTATTCTTTACCAAAATTCATAAAATTGACGCAGTTGATGATGATATTGCAGTCTTTCAACACGTTTCATCTTTGCAACTATTTGCATATTTCTAATAAATTTGGTATTGGGGCATGGGATACTGAGACCTATGCACTTAGAACTTAAGGAAAGCTTCACTGTGGCTCTTGCTTATAAATACTCGTATTTTGTTGCATTCTATCATCTAAATCACCACAGATCATATTCCTGTCAACACAACGCATTTCCCGAAAGGCAAAGCTTGCTGTCAAGTCGATACGTTTCGGCACATAGATGCCATCTTCAGGTCCGGATTTTAGTTACAATTAATCTATCATGTTAAATAAAGCTATCCTTGTAACAGGCCGTGAAAGCGCATAGGGTTGCGAGACGTCGAGGCGCCCACATTTTCTAGACAGTCCGCTCACAGATGGCGGTAAGGTTGTCAGCCTTACGCACCAGCCTCCCTTTACCCCCAGGAAGATTCCTGGTACTCATTTCTGTTAGAGGCTGAGTCGACTCCAGGGTCATATTGCAGCTGGAACGATTAGGTCAATCACGAATATTCAATGACCGAATCGGGAATCGAACCCGCTACTTTCCGACTTGTAGCGTAGTGTCTCAACCAACTACGCTACCGCATGGCCTCTATTTTATCGTGTACTTAGCGTAAATTCCCCATATAAATCGAGTGGGTCCACCGATGAGTTACATGCTTCTATATACACCACATACTATATTGTAAAAGTGACTGGATTTTTATCTATCGGTTCACACTGCAGTTATTTAGCTAAAAGCTGAATGTGATTAGAAAGAACGTGTTCAGTGTCTCATATTTACATAAAACTTTCAGCACCTCTTAACACATCTGAGTTCCCTCAGGCTCTGAGTACAGACACATGAAGAGTACATAGAATGCAATAACACACCTGGAAGGCGGGTTTGTTGTAACCTTCCGGTCTATTGACGGGATCGGCCTCCAGGAACACGCATGCGGTGTGCTGTGTGGAGGAATACGTGTAGGTGATCTCGCCATGACTCAGGTACACCGGCACGGAAGCAAGCAGGATCACTACCCACGTCACTGCAATGGCGGCTATGGCATTGCGTTCCGTGCGTATCTAAACAGAAACAGATTTATTGCACAACTGTAGGGTATGGTTTTAAGTAAGGGTTAGGTAAAAGTCTTTGAAATAAAGAGCAGCTAGCAATTCCAGAATTTTATACTTAACATTTCTTATTCAACCAATCCCACCCCACAAAAAAAAAAGGAGTTTACATTTCATATAGTATGTAAATTACAAGAGCGTGTCTCAGAATAGTTGGATTTCCTGGTAATTCTTGTGATAGGCCTTGGCAGCGCCAGCTGTTTCTTTTCACTCCACGACCAACAGACAATAGATATAACTTCTTGAATTAATGCTTGAAGTTTATATATGGAAGGACAACAAAACGGCACTTAATTGTTTGTACGGTTACAGTTTGTTTTGTTGGAAACATGAAATAGTCTAGGCACTGTAAGACAGATCAAGAAAATAATTTATTCACATTTGCTTTTCTGTTTAGCAATAAAATCCTAACAAATCACCATAGTTCAAAAGTATACCTGTACTTAGCAAAATGAGATTAATTTAAATTTAGAAGTATGTGAAGTCACTGTATTCATAAGCTAGAATGCTTCTTGAGAAACTAATAGTCGCTTATTTGTTCAAGATATTCCTCGCCTTTTACGGTATCCGAAATGTCAATGTAGTTTCGCTGGACTCTCTTTGGAGCCAAAATAATTCAGTCCATGAATTCATATCCTACTCTTTAAAACACTTTTTAATATTACCCTCCACTCAACTTTTGTGCTTTCCAAGGGCTCTGTTCCCTTAAGGCTTTCGATTAAAATTCTGTGTGCGTTATAAATAACTCTACCTCCCACGCTCACCTCAGCCTCCTTGACGTGATCACTCAGTAACATTTGGTGAAAAGCAAAATTTATTAAGCTTCTCGTTAAACTTACTCTGCTGTCCTGTTGCGTTCCTTATCCTTCTCAGTACCAGACTTTCAAACAGTTTCAAATTATTTTCAGTTTTTAATTTATAAAATAAAGGAAAATCGTGCTGCGAGAGGTGATGATATTTGACGTTCCTATGAGGAAGCCGTACCGAAGCGTGAACGGTACTTGACATGGATGTGGAAACACAGTACGACAGGGCAATCAGATACTGACATATGTTATTCACCCTAAACATGTCACGTCATAACATAATGGCTAAATGAAATAACGCTAAATTTGTCATACTAGACATGAATTTACTCGTATTTCAGCTCATGTCCGGGGCACTATGCCAGAGCGCCACATGAACTCAGCCCCGTCATCAAGCAGTTCGTGGCAATATTGTGACCAATCACAGTGGCCGCATGGTCTAAGGAGCACGCTCTGGGATTATGGGTTTCCTTTCGTGCACGTGTGTTGCTGGGTAGGTAGACGCGGAGCGCATGACAAAGAACCCCTTCCAAAAAGATTCCGAAATGCGGAAGAAGAAGGGGCTTTGGACCGTATGTGATTGTAGTGCCATATATGAAGAAGTCACGAGTATTGTGACACTACAGTAAGAGTAGAAGTCAAAGAGTAAAAAATTTTTCGTTCACATCAAAAATAAGATTGAAGACAACGAAGAAACAAACAGATATAAACACTTTTTTTCATATGTGTTCACTTCCTTTAACTGTACTTTAAGTGGTGATAATGACCTGACACTTCGATTTGGCTGTTTCATTAATGAAATGCATAAAAAATACATATGTCTTATGATCCTATTCGTGTGGTCAGAGGAGGTGAAAATTAGTGAAATTTACAGGACAGAAATTCAGCATGAACCAGAGGAAAGTTTACGAACAGGTGGAAAAGTCCAAGAAAAGTGGTCAGGTGCTGCTAGTACATGCTCTGATCTGTCATCGGTTGCAACATGCGTTAAGGCTAAATGGAAACAGATCTACATGTCCGGGACAATCGGAGAATTAGGACTGACGAATCAGCAATTGACAACAATAATGGAATAAAACTTAGTAAGAATGGGCAAAGGCTCAAGAGAAATGAGTGTGCTTTTTTTCATGTATGGACACGGGCACTGGTGGACCGTTGTAAGATATTATATTGGAAAGCTGGAAGATATTTAAAAGATATATGACGCCGTCCAGTTTTGGAAGGAAGCTGCGAATATATTGAATAAGCAGTCGCGGACAGCCGACAAGGGGTGGACCTCGAGCTTGGCCGTTGGGCGTGGGGCTAACAACTCCTCACCGTAAAAAAATCATTATGTTACGAAAATGAACACAAAGCCTCGGACCTGGACTGATTCCTTGGATAAACGACCTAAGCTAATGAAAATGGATATGAGATTTGGCACTTGGAATGTACGAAGTTTGTATAGGGCAGGTTCGCTCAGGGCAGTGGCAGAAGAAATCTTAAAATATAAGTTAGATTTAGCGGGAGTACAGGAGGTCAGATGGGATGGAGGTGGCATCGCACCAACAGGAGACTATACATTTTTCTATGGAAAAGGTAATGAAAATCATGAATTAGGTACAGGTTTTTTTCGTACATAAGAGAATCGTATCAGCAGTTAAGAGGGTAGAGTTCGTTAGTGATAGAGTATCATATACAATACTCAAAGGTCGCTGGTGTGATATCATTGTTATGAATGTTCACGCCCCAACAGAAGATAAAATTGATGACATAAAGGATAGATTCTATGAAGAACTAGAACATGTATTTGATAAATTCCCGAAGCACCCTATGAAAATTTTGTTAGGAGATTTCAATGCCAAAGTAGGGAGGGAAGACATTTTCAAACCAACAATTGGGAATGAGAGTTTGCATGAAACTAGTAATGATAATGGAGTTAGAGGAAACTGAAAGCGGCCTCCGTAGCCTAGAGGTAACGTTCCCACCTCATGACTCGTGGTACGCGGGTTCAAATACCAGGCGGAGGTCGTCGAATTTTTAAGGGCGGAACAATTCAGGGAACAAGTCCTCCGGGAGGGACTTTAAGCTGTGTATCCCGTGTCGTAACTTTATGGCATGTAAAAGAACCTCATATCCCCAAAGGGGATCACTGAGCCAAATTCCAGGACGTTTCCCGCCCAACAATAGTCTCTAAGGCCTCTGATAGATGGGGGAAGCATTATAGATACCGCTAAGCAAGTGGCCGAACTCGCTTGCTCGGCGGGACTGATGGTACGCACCATTTATCGGTAGGGTATAGAGACTGGTGGAATATCATAGAGGGAAGCACAATAGATCAAACTGGTCGCGGTGCATGGGGAAACCCATCCTCTCTAAATAACTAATTAACTAACTAGAGGAAACTGAGATCGATGTTAATAAAACTTGGGAAACTATTAGAGAGAATCTAAAAATGTCAGCCAAAGAGAGTCTAGGCTATTATGAACCGAAGAAGCATAAGCCATGGTTTGATGAAGGATGCTCAAAATTATTAGATCAAAGAAAGCAGGACAAATTGCAATGGTTACAGGATCCAAGCTAGATAAGTGGGGATAATCTGAACAATATAAGACGTGAAACCAGCAGGCATTTCAGGAACAAAAAGAAGGAATATCTGAAAGACAAAATTGATGAGCTTGCAATGAACAGTAAGAACAAGAACATTAAAGAGCTGTATAGAGGAATAAATGACTTTAAGAGGGGTTACCAGCCTAGCAGTCACTTAGTGAAGGATGAGAATGGTGATCTGCTTGCAGATTCCCACAACATTTTGAATAGGTGGAGTAACTGCTTCTCTCAGTTATTGAATGTACATAGGGTCAGTGCTGTTAGGCAGACAGAAATCCACACAGCTGAGCCGCTAGTACCTGATCCCAGCCCTTTGGAGGTTGAAACTGCTATTGCAAAATTGAAACGGTATAAATCGCCAGGTAGTGATCAAATTCCGGCAGAGCTTATTCAAGCAGGAGGCGTAATATTACGTTCTAAGATCCACAATCTCATTACTTCGATTTGGCATCAGGAAAAATTGCCTGATCAGTGGAAGGAATCTATTATTGTACCAGTTCACAAGAAGGGTGATAAAACTGACTGTAGTATACGTAATCATCGGGGGATATCTCTGCTATCAACTTCATATAAAATTTTATCCAATATTCTTCTTTCAAGGTTAAGTCCATATATAGATGAAATTATTGGGGATCATCGGTGTGGGTTTCGAAGTAACAGATCAACTACAGATCAGATCTTTTACATTCGTCAGATATTGGAGAAAAAATGGGAGTACGATGAGACAGTACATCAGCTATTCATAGACTTCAAGAAAGCCTACGATTCAGCTAGGAGGGAAGTATTGTACAACATTCTAATAGAGTTTGGGATACCCATGAAACTAGTTAGGTTGATTAAAATGAGTTTAAACGAAACGTATAGTATAGTCCGTGTAGGTAAACATTTGTTTGATAAATTTCCTATCGAGAGTGGTCTAAAACAAGGAGATAATTTATCGCCACTCCTTTTCAACTTTGCTTTAGAATATGCCATTAGGAAGGTCCAGGGAAACCAGGTGGGACTGAAATTAAACGGGACACATCAGATGTTGGTCTCCGCCGATGATGTGAATCTACTGCGTGATAATGTAGATACCATAAAGAAAAACACACAAACTTTAATTGACGCAAGTAAAGAGGTTGGTCTAGAAGTAAACACAGAGAAAACTAAGTATATGTTACTGTCTCGTGACCAAAATGCAGGGCAAAATCATGACATAAAGATAAGAAACAGATGTTTTGAAAATGTGGCACATTTCAGATATTTGGGAACAACGATAACAAATCAAAACCTGATTCAGGAGGAAATTAAGAGGAGACTGAACTCGGGTAATGCTTGCTACCATTTTGTCTTCTCGTCTGTTGTCCAAAAACATAAAAATTAGAATATACAAAACTATAATTTTGCCCGTGGTTCTGTATGGGTGTGAAACTTGGTCTCTGACATTAAGGGAGGAACACAGACTGAGGGTGTTTGAGAACAAGGTATTAAACAAAATATTTGGACCGAAGAGGGATGAAGTGACAGGAAGTTAGAGAAAACTGCATAATGAGGAGCTTCATAACTTGTACTGCTCTCCAAGTATAATTAGAATGATCAAGTCAAGGAGGATGAGGTGGGCAGGTCATGTAGCACGAATGGGGAGAGACGAGGAATGCGTATAGGATATTGGTGGGACAGCCGGAAGGAAAGAGACCACAGGGACGACCATAGGGTAGCTGGGCAGACAATATTAGCATGGATCTTAGAGAGATAGGATGGGATGTTTTGGATTGGATCGATCTGGCTCAGGATAATGACTGGTAAAGGGCTCTTGTGAACACGGTAATGAACATTCGGGTTCCATAAAATGCTGGGAAATTCTTGAGTAGCTGCAGAATTGGCGACTCCTCAAGAAGGGCTCAGCTACTTAAGTAAGTAAGTAAGTAAGTAAGTAAATAAATGACTAATGTTAAGTGATTATTTTTCAGAACTTGCAGCAAAATGTCCGTAAACTTTGACACATCAGCCAGATTCTGGTCACAGTTTCCTTCTTATGTATCCGTACAAAAATCTCATGTGGACTTCGATGAATTTTATTTGTAAATTTTCCAGTGTTTCGACCATAAATTATGTTTTTTTTTTCAATATGGCCAATTATATCGAAAAATGTCGAACATAGGAAAAAGACAACAATAGAAGTGTCACCTTCCTTAAGCAATAATACACGTATTACTGGAACATACATTTCTCTAGTCAAAATAGAATTATCTTGCATTCTGGGCCGTTTCGGAACACTGGGCGCTAACAATACTTCTTCTCTTGATCTCTCTGTCATTCTGTAGGTAGTAATTCCGTTCTAAACGAAGCGATTTTAATAAATGCGGTACTTAATGTACATAAGTTTCTATAATCCAATTAAATTTTGATTTATATTCGACAACGTGGACTACAACAAACGATTGAATGTATTTATCCATAAACATAAGCTTTTATCCATAAACATAAGCTTATGTAAAAATTATAGCTGCGTTTAACTAATTAACCACTACGGCATGAAGGCGTATGGGGAATGAATACATAGATCCACATTTTCTTGACCTCAGAATTAACTTGAGGTGAGTGGTCAGCTTCACGTTCCTGCAACTTTAACGCCGGGGAAACAGCCTCTAGTGCCCACTGGATAGGAGGATGGGTGGTCCCGAAAGCCTGGCTGGACGACGTGGAGAAGAGAAAAATTTTGACCCTATGGGAACTCGAACTCCGGCCCATTGGTCGTCCAACCCATAGCCAGTCAGTATACCGACTGCGCTATCCCGGCTCTAGTAGGCTTATGTAAGTTCTACAATTAAATATTAGGGAGGACAACTTATGTAGAGACGTTTCGCTTTATGTACTTTTCGTTCACGGAGCATGTTCTGAGATGATCAGGTAATGATGGTCACATACAGAACTGGACTTGACGTACGAGTATATGCGAAACGGAGAAGCGTCAATTTCTGAAAGGCTACTAATATTGCTCAACTACAAACTCTGCTACGCTTTCTGTGATTGACAAAATTATACGTCATTCAAAGTAATAATTTTCACATTATTTCCGGAAGCGTTTCATTAGAGATATGCCGGGATAAGGAATGAAATAACATTTAATATAAATATTAAAGAACTGAGAAAAACAGATGTTAGTACAACATATCAATCTATGTTGTTGGCCGCGCCATAGCTCAAGCGGTTAGTCGCTGGCTTTCCACCGCGGCGGCCCGGGTTCGATCCCGGGTCTGGTTAAGTGGGATTTGTGGTGGGCAAAGTGGCGCTGGGGCAGGTTTTTTCCGAGTACTTCGGTTTCCCCTGCCAATCTTCATTCCACCAATTGCTCCACAATCACCGTTACCTATCATCCGGGGCTGGTACAATAGGCCAGAAGTGGCCGCAGTACAAGGGACTTAGTCCCACCCCACTAGCAATTAAAAAAATCGATGTTGTTCGAACATTTAAGAGCCGGGATATCGTAGTCAGTGTAGCGACTGGCTACGAGCTGAACAACAAAGGGATCGGAAGTTCGAGTCCCGGTGAGGGCAAGATTTTTCTCTTGTCTATGTCGTCCAGACCGGCTATGGGGTTCACCCAATCTCCTATCGAATGGGTACCGGGTGCTCTTTCCTCAGGGGTAAAGCAGCAGATGCGTGAAGGTGATCTCTCACCTCCAGCTAGTTCCGAGGTCAAGAAAATGTGGATCTATACATCCACTCCCCCATACGCCTTCATGGCATAGTGCTTAATTAGTTAAGTACAGGGATAATTTTAAATTTTACCTTACGTTGTTGGAACATTTGGAAAACGGAATTCTGAAGAGCACCCATTAATGTAAACGGAAGAGTACAAGATCTCAGGGACATGCAACGAAGAGATCTAGGAACAGCTTTAAGCATTAAGCCAAGAGCTCAGTCCGTGATGCTCCTGAAAGTGATGAAACGGCACGAGGGAAGGGTCTCTAGAAAATGCTTAGTCTCCGATATTGACGGACCATAAATTCCTAAAATTTTGGCAGAGCTGCATCTTGGGTAACACTGACTGTTCTGAATGGATTCAAGAGGAGATTACTCACCGACATGGAAGCGATTGGATGTACCACAGCCATGAATCGATCTAGAGACATGAGAACAAGCGTATAGACACTGGCGTACGCAGTAACGACGATGAGATATTGTACAATCTTGCACCAGACGTCTCCAAACGGCCAGAAGGGTAGCACATAGTCTGTGGCAGTGAAGGGAACGCAGAAGACAATGAACAAGAGGTCAGCCACAGCCAAGTTGATGATAAGCAGGTTCGTAGTGCTCCGCATCTGCTGGTTGGCAGCCACTACCAGCACCACCTGAAACGGGAACACAAAAAACAATTTACACATGTTTGGTACTGTATAGAATTTTTGGGAAGTTTCTTGATTCGAATTTAGGCTGGCATATCATTTATAAGACGAGCTTTTCACAGTTTTCTACAGTCCTACAAGGGGAATTTCACTATAATACTGTAACAAGGATGGCCAGAGCGTTGCTAGGTAACTGACCGTTAAACATCTCGCGACCGAATACGCTCATGGCAACGATAGGAGTGCGGCGTTTTCTATGCCGTCGGCACGGCGACCGCCGCTATGCATCCTCGCTGTAAACAGTTCTCTAAAACAATAGAGGCTGTTTTCTGGGTGGTCGGTGTGGAGGCTATGTAACGAGATTCCGTACAGAACAGTGTTCTCCCCTGTGTGGAGCCGGGGTCGAATACCTCCACCTTGACCCTGCGAGTCGTAGAAAGCGACGAAAAGAGAAGTCTCAAATCTGAGACAGTAAAATATGGTCGCGAGTCCCAAGGAACTCAGGTCCAAGAAAAACTGCACTGGCAAGGGCCAGCAGCATATGGGAAAGTCAGACCCATCCTCTCGTCAGAGAGGGCGTCCCACAAAAACAAGACCGTAAATGTCCATGATGTGCATTCATGCTAACCGTCTTACAGTGCACACAATTTCACCTTTCTCTTCTCTTTTACACTACATGTTTCAGCACTAATGTGCCATCTTCAGGTGTGTCTCTATGCACGTCAAACTACTGCACTGTAAGACGGTTAGCATGAATACACATCATGGACATGAATCAGTGCAACAGGACGCTAAAATATAACATTAAGACCGTAAATGCCAAACAGTAATAAATATCTGATCATGAGCCCCAGATGAGGCTCGACACCAAGACTTTCTGACTGATCGACCGTGAGTCACAATGTGACTTTGACTTTGAACAGTGTTCATTGTGTAAGTGTTTAAGTGACAGTGAGAGAGTTCTCAGAGGAAGATAGCCACGGAAAGTTCGTCGTGTGAAGACTTCATGTGCGATTAGAACACTTTATTCATGCATAACATTTGAAGTGATTTGAAGCGCGTGTTCCTGTGTTTTAACTGCATTACCAGGAGAGGAGTAATATGCGTGCAACAGTGTATTACGAAGTGTGTAAATCAGCGATAGCGCTGTAATTTAAGTGTCATTAAGAGAGGCTGTAACCAAATTGCCAATAAATCCAATCATCCGAACTAGAACCCGTCATTCTCGTCACGCGTACCACCCTACAAATGAAAATACTTTATAAGAAGGCACCCTATCGTGTAAACTTATGCATACTCTTACCAGAACTGTAGGTATTTTTATGTCCTATTTAAATTGAAGATTACAGCGTATAAACTACAATTTTACCTGTTCCTTAATACCTCGACCTAAGAAATGCACATGGACTGAGGTTATATGGGAAAAATGAAGGGAATAGTATTTGTACGTATGGCAGATGAAACAACAGGAACGTTAAAGGAACTGCATGACAAGGAGCTTCACAAATTTTACTCTCTGGATCAGATTTCTTCGTCAGAAGCTGATAGTGCCTCAGCTGACGTTCTTTTTTTAAGTTTTCTCATGGATTGATACTGAGTCCACTTGGCGCTGTGGCCACTGTTTGGGCTACTGTACCAGCTTCAGATGATAGATGATGATGATTGTGGAGCAATCGGTGGAATGAAGATTGGCAGGGGAATCCGAAGTGCTGCTCCAGTGCCACTTTGTCCACCACAAATTCCACATGACATAACCCGGACTCGAACACGGGCCGCCGCGGTGGGAAACCGGCGACTAACCGCCTGAGCTATGGCACGGGAATGCCCAGCCGGTAAATTCCGTCTTTTATGGAACACACAGTCTCATTACCATGTTCAGATTAGTCCGCCACTGGTGCCTGTTTCAAAACCCGCATATCCTGATCTGTCTTTTGAAATATCCTCTTTAGTCCTAGATATCTCAAATGGTCTCGTTCCTTCAGATATTCCTATTAAAATTTTGTATGCCAAAACGATCGATCTAGAAAACCGAAATTCACAGCCGTGGGGATCCGTTGCTCTGACCACGCGACACCCTCTATCCGCCAAAGTTGGCACTAACTTCGCCGACAAGCGCGGTCGCTCGGTCGGTATAGTTCGCTTGAGGACTACATTCCGCGGAGTTTTTTTTTATTCCAAACGATAAGAAATCGAAATGCCTGTTTGGGAATGAGTTACCTGAACATCGGGAACAGTGATAAACAAGTTGGTCAGGCTGTATCTGTCGATACTGGACACGCGTATCTGTTGAATACAGAGCACAAGGCCGTAGTTGGAAACGAAGTTATTGCTTGCAGGTGCTGCATAACTATCGCAACAGACGAAATAGTTTCACTTCTGAACTTGGAACAATTCATGAACCAGTTTCCCTAATTAGACGCTCAACTCGTGAAGCCAGACACGTGCAAAATTATGTTCTTCTTTCATTTAACTCCTGTGCTGTTACTTCCAATGATTTATAGCATTTCATGAACCTCAGAATTCCTTCTGTTTGCAGACAAAATAAATTAATAATCCTGCTGTGCTTGTAGCAGACAGGCCATCAGCATTCACAATAGAGGAGAGGTTCATAAGAATGACCCAATCCTTTCCCGTCGGATAAATACAATGGCCACAACATTATCAAAGGGATTCTTATAATGAACTGTGCTCTGATCTGCTGGTAAAAAAATGTAACTGTTTTATTCGCAGTGCATGATACCACAGCCATAGTCTAAGTGATTTTCGGCCCGAGTTCGAAGCGCAGATATGTCTTGCGTAATATATTACATCGCCGGTCATGGTAGCCGAATGGTCTAAGGCATGTACTGTCTTCGCTCGCTTGGAAACCGGGATCGTGGGTTCGAATCCCACTCAGGGCATGGATGTTTAGTTTGTGTGTGTGCGGTTTTTCTGTGTTTGTGTACAGGTAGAGGCCTTGCGACGAGCTGATCACCCGCCTAAGGATTCCTACCGAATGTGTAAGATCTAGAAAAACCGAAGTGAACGGAGAAGTTCATGGAGGTAGGCCTAGGCCCACTGGGGCTGTAGTGCCAAGGAAAAAAAATATATTACATCTTTTATAAAGATGTAGCAACTTGAATCCGTCCAATGCAAGTTTTATAGATACATCACGAGAAAGTAATACGTACATGCGATCGGAGGAGACCGTCAAGTACAACTTCCCTTACGAGTGATTGTGTTTCATTTATTCATGTTGTGCGGTACACTCTGGATTTAAATAAATACGACACAACACAACTGTAGGTAAAATAAGTTATAAGCTAGACTAGCTCCATAATAGAATCATTCTTGAAAACCTGAAACTCACTCAGCTGGTCAAGAAATATCTCGCTTTTATGAAACCTGGAAATTCGTTGCCTTTTTGCTAGAGTTCGCGACCGAAACCTGATCTAAGGAAGGTAAATCCAGAGTTATGTCTTCTGGGATATAGAGCTGCGTAATCGTTATTCCTGTACACACAGAAACTTCGGCAGGCCAATTCTTCTGCTTACTACCTGCTTCGCGCTGGTTTCTTAGTTGGCTAATTCTTCGACCCTGATGATGGAGGCGACATGTTACTCCGAAAGTCGATTGACTTTCAACAGTCTACACGACGTTATATCCTAGAAAAGAGAACTCTTCATAACTGCCGCTATGAGAACCCTCAGATCCTGCACGGTAAATCCAACCCACAGTATCTTACAGGATTTCTTTAAGATAAAGTAAAAAAAAAAAGTAAAGCTATCCCTGTAACAGGCCGTGAAGGCCCTAGGGTTGTGAGACGTTGAAGGTCCCACATTATCTAGACAATCGGCTCAAAGATGGAGGTAAGGTTGTCAGCCTTACGCGTGGGCCGCGCTTTACTGCCCAGGAAAATGATTTAATTCCTGGTACTCATTTCTGTTATAGGCTGAGTCCTTAAGATATATTTTAATATTATTCTAACATATGCGTAGGACTCATAACTGATGTCCTGTCTCTAAAATTTTAGGGTTAATATCTTAATTACACATATGTCTGCAGATGACTGTTTAAAATGAAAATGTCTTAATTTTCATCTTGTATTTATTTTCCAACTTAATGTGTTTTTCTGAGCTGTAATCCTACTTTTGTTCTCTCTGTTCACAGAATTTGCGCGTTCTCATTCATAAATCTATCGACTTTCAAATAACTCTTTCAAAGGAACCTTTTGCACTCTCCTTCACATTAAATAACTTGTACCCTAAACGTGCGGGCAGCAGTTCTCAGCAAAATTCTACATCTACTTCCCACACTACAAGATATCCGAACTCGGAAGGCTGCAAACCTAATCTCAAGATCTGATTCATTTCTCAGTTATCATAATCAGTATCCTAAGCGGGTTCTTGTGCGGTTAGAGGAATACAAGTTTCCTGTCGGAATAGGTTCTGACAAGGGGAAGGAAGGAACGTGTCGAAATAGGTTCTGACACGAAGGGAGGTGGGAAGGAACGTGTCGGAATAGGTTCTGACACGAAGGGAGGTAAGAAGGAACGTGTCGGAATAGGTTCTGACAAGAAGGAAGGAAGGAACGTATCGGAATACGTTCTGACAAGAAGGAAGGAAGGAAGGAAGGTGTCGGAATAGGTTCTGACAGGAAAGAAGGAAGGAAGGAAGGAACGTGTCGGAATAGGTTCTGACAAGAAGGAAGGAAGGAAGGAACGTGTCGGAATAGGTTCTGACAAGACTGAAGGAAGGAACATGTCGGAATAGGTTCTGACAAGAAGGAAGGAAGGAACGTATCGGAATACGTTCTGACAAGAAGGAAGGAAGGAAGGAAGGTGTCGGAATAGGTTCTGACAGGAAAGAAGGAAGGAAGGAAGGAACGTGTCGGAATAGGTTCTGACAAGAAGGAAGGAAGGAAGGAAGGAACGTGTCGGAATAGGTTCTGACACGAAGGAAGGAAGGAAGGAACGTGTCGGAATAGGTTCTGACGAGAAGGAAGGAAGGAAGGAACGTGTCGGAATG